GCTTGAACGAGATAATGCATCTTATCCTCGTTTTGAATTTCTTTATCTTCATGTATTCGCCAAAATTGTTTCCAAAACGGTAACCAATCTTTAATTTCGCCACCGAATTGTTTTAACTCTATTTTAGGTAATTTCAGTTTCCGTTTGTTCGAATTCGGCGGAATACTGCTAGTAGATTGTATCATTTGGCGATTGAAGAATAATTCCGTTTTTACTCGTATTAAATCTAATTTTTCTTTGTATTCTTCAACTTTTCGCCCATTCATTTTCAAACGATCATTTGAAGAAAATTCTGAATTTAATATTTGAGTCAATGCATGCATAAGTTCAACAGATAACGTTTCTAGAGTAACAAGTTTCTTTTTAAAATTCTTGAATCAGGAATTTCCTTTTCTAATTCCTGCAAATTGCATTAATTGTTCTCGTAAAAGACGCTCTGACAGGTTTTCGTTTCTCAATTAACGATTCCATTTCAATAAAAATAAATTCACTAAAGTCAAATAGAATTAAATTCGATAAAACCATAAAATTACCTTGACTTGTTTTACCGATCACTTCCGTCGTCACCAAAATTGTTCGAGATTTGCAAGAACTCCACGTTCTCCTTTCTCCTAATAAACTTAAAATAAAAACTTTACATATAAAATTCTAAAGCGTCATATTTATTTTCAAAATCCGTAGAACTACAAGAAACTACAACGAAAATCAGATGGTTGCCATTCTTACAGTGACAAACTATGAAAAGAAAAATAACAACTGAGGCTGGGTTCTAACACCCGTATTTATTTTTTTAAAAAAAAAGCAGTTACAAACAAACAAACAAAGCAAGGGTACTTACGTACTATCGCTACCATCTTGGCACAATTCGGGGATTTTTTACGGATGAAAATATAAAAGTTACTTAGCATATGCAAGTTGGTGGTTTTCGGCCTTCGTTTTTAGAAAGATTCCCAAACTATCGATGTTTATAAGTTGGTAAACAATATCAAGATAGGAATAGCAATTTGAAATACAAACTTGAATTATTAAGTAAGGATTATGAAATACATTAAAAAAATGAAACATTTACATTCGTATTCGAATCTTTCTGTATTTTTTACGTTATTTTTCTCCCGAAGTGCACAGCGATCAGTTTTCACTTAAAAAAAACATCAGAGAATTGCGGACACTCGGCTTCATGCAAACTTCAGCAACAGCAGCTGTCGCCATGCTCTTCCTGGCTGTTGTAATGATCTGGAATACCTAGACTTTCTCCAGTTCTCCCATGTTTAGAGAAAAAATAATTTTCCCAAAATATGGACTCCTATATTCTGCCGAGCAATACTCATGCATTGACTATATATATAGATGATTTTCTAATGGAAACTGTTTACATGCGTTCACTTTACATGGGGGAAAAACTACGAAAACATCATGCAGCCGGCCCGTTTGCCGAAACCCGATCTCAGGGGGAATTTTCAGTATTCGGTATTTTTTCAGTATTTTTATCAATTCTTCCGCTAGTTGGAGCTAGAGATTAGAGTATTATCAGCTGTTGCAAAGTTAAGTTGTCCGTAATGACCATCAGAATTTTTTAGTTCGTTAAAGCTCAAGTAAAGTCTAAATAAATGTCAGGTGCAAATTTTTAATTCTTAGGCACACATGACTTAAAAGTCATGTTATACATTTAACACCACAATATTCAGTGCGATCTTGATGCATGGGCACTGTGGACAATGCTTGGAAGCCCAGCGAGCAACGTTCTAAGGACAATATTTTGGCAAATTTATTGCTTCTTCTGAAAGAGTTGATGTGAGGTTTTTAGAATACTACAAAAGCCATGAGACCTAAGAAAATGTTACGATACCCCTGGCAACATATTGTTTACAGTTATGAAGCTATAGATTTTTTGATTCGGAGTCTACTGCCATTACTGTAAAATAAAAATAGAGTTTATCTTTCGATTTTGCCAACAGATGACGCCACTAACTTTTTCCAAACGTGTGCATATCAAAATAAAAATTAACACACCAACTACTCGAAATATCTGTATACTATTAAGGCAGACCTTGATTATTTCGGTCATAAAACTCGCACCTGAAACCCTAGCCTTTACGAGTTCCTAAAATCATGCGGCAGATGGTGACTAGACAAAAGCCCACTGGACGAAAGCGCACGAGACAAAAGCCCACAAAAAAGACCCCACTGGGATAATTGCCCAAGCGACTAATACCCACACCGATGAAAGGGCACATTGATAAAAGCCCACACTGATAAAAGCCCACGTTGATAAAAACCCACGTAGATATAAGCCCACGCTGATAAAAGCCCACACTGATTAAAAGCGCACATCAAAGGGACTCATGCTTTTTTAATTATTTTTATATATTTTAATTTTAATTATAATAAATGGAGTATTCAGATCTGAATTCTAATGTCTCAAATATTCTGTTTGTTATTTTATCACTACTTTGTTTTGTTTAATTTATTAGGTTGAAAGCAAACTTTCTGCTCTCGGATTAAGTCATAGCTATAAAGTTTCGATCATAAATCTGAAATTGATTTTATTATTTTTTACTTATTTAACTTGTATGTGTATGTGAAAATGAAAATATCATTGTGGATTTCTCACATGCTGTTTTAAGTAATGTGGCTGAGATTAAGTATAATTATGTTTCATTATTAAAACTATTAACTTTTTAATTAAAAACACTTGAATTTTATTTTATTACTTTTTCCTTTAGTTCCTTTTTAGTTAGGAATATTAAAAGAGAATTAAAATTACTATTAAAGAATATAAAAGCACAATGCAAACTTTGCTAAGGGATATTTTATTCTTTACTTTAGACTCAGCTTATTATCAAAGTTTAAATATACTTCTCATTGAAAGCTGTTTTCAATGTAACAATTATAATTTGGCGATTTTCTAGAGATATTTTCTTTTAGATTTCTGAATAAATTAAAACTGTCAGCTGACACCCTGTCAGAAAATGAATTCCAAATGTAACCTTTTAATCTTTCAACTACAACAATTTGGAATAGTGTTTTTAATTTTCATTTTATTTATTTATTTATTTTGGGGGCATGGAACAACTCTTAGAAGTCAACATATCTACAAATTTAAGTACAAATCACCTCAAAGTATAGTAATAAATATGTAGCATTTTATTAGAGATTGTGAAGATGGCAGAGAACAATGCATATAATAACTTAATAAAATTTTGTAAAAACATAAATATATATTTATAGTCATCAGGTCCAAAGTTCATCGTTTTTAGATTCTAAGTATACATATTATATAAATTCATCATTCATTAATAGCATTATGTTTAGTAATAGAAAAACAGTATTAATGTTTCAAATTGTAATTTTTTAATAATTTGTCTTGCATTTGCTGTATATTTGTTCAAGACGTATGGATATCAGTTATATAACATGGAAAATACACAGAAAGCAGCAAATCTTATATGACAGCTAATTGTGAAAGAAAAATTACAGTGCTTTTAATTACAGTTATAGTGCTTTAAGTCTCCCTATTGTAAATAGCAGTTTTCTAATCGACATTAGATTAAATTAATTCCATTATCCATTAGAAAATAACTATAGTAAATTATATCTATTGAGGACATTTCTAAGAAGTCGCCTTTTGAAAGAGACCTGCATTTTTTGTGAACATAAACGAAAATTGCCAGCGAATATCACATTTCTAAGACCACCATATCTACAACCAAAATCCTTTAAAACCGTGAACCGAATAATTGTTACATTCAAAGCAGCTTTCAATGAGAAATATGTTGAAACTTTGATAATAAGCTCAGTCTAAAGTAAAGAATAAAATATCTCTTAGCCAAGTTTTCATTGTGCTTAACTGTTTTAATATTCCTAAACTAAAAAGGAACTAAAGGAAAAACTAAAAAAGAAATAAAATAAAATTCAGGTGTTTTTAATTAAAAAGTTAATAGTTTTAATAATGAAACATAATTATACTTAATCTCAGCCATATTACCTTAAAAATAGCATGTGAGAAACTCCATAATGATATTTTTCATTTTCACATACACATACCAAAGTTTAATAAGTAAATAAGTAATAAAATGCAATTTCAGATTTATCATCGAAACGTTATAATTAATCACTTAACCAGAGAGTAGAAAGTTTGCTTTTAACCTAATAAATTAAACAAATAAAGTAGTGATGAAATATACAAATAGACATTTTTGAGACATTAGAATTCAGATCTGAATACTCCATTTATTATAATTAAAATTATATATATATAAAAAGAATTAAAAAAGCATAAATCTCTTTTGATTATGTGCGCTTTTAATCAGTGTGGGCTTTTATCAGTATGGGCTTATATCTATGTGAGCTTTTATCAACGTGGGCTTTTATCAGTATGGGCTTATATCTATTGATCTTTTATCAACGTGGGCTTTCATCAATGTGCGCTTTCATCGCTGTGGGTATTTGTCGCGTGAGCAATTATCATAGTGGGCTTTTGTCGCGTGAGCAATTATCATAGTGGGCTTTTGTCTGGGAACCGCGGCAGATATACAGTAATATATAATTCAGGACTAGAAATTCCATTAACTAACAGTTTTTTAACGTGTACTGCTGATGATATTTTATCATAACGAAAAAAACGAATGTCAATTAAAAAAAAACTTTTATTCCATGTAAAGTAACTAATATTCAGAAATGTGAAAAATTTGTCCTTTTTCCTCATTGAAAACTACAGTAGAGGATGCCAAAGGAAGCTTAGAAAGACTGTTAAGTTTGGAACTCTATTTATCGACTGTTAATCGCGATTCGTAATCAAAATTTAGCTGAATTTCCGAATAAGTTCCTTTCATACTCAACCAACATTTTTGTTACTGAACTATAAGTAGTTGAATATCGTAAAATTAGTGAGTAAAATTACAGCCCGTCTTGAAAACCATAATGATTCACTTTTACAAGGCGTGATCAGAAATCAAATTTTGATGGTGTAGTTGACGAAAGTCAAAAAGAAACTAACTTACTGCGGAATTTGAGATTTGGTTGAACTCATCTTTTCATTAACCGCTAATGTGGGGGCAGAATCCGGAAAACCTGTCATCTTACTTGGTTGAGCTTCGGCAAGTAGATCGGAGTAATAAGAAAATCTGCCAGATTCAGGACTAGAATACTTGTCCTCGTAAATATCCTCACAGTAATCCTCTTTGCCAGCATTCCTTCTCATATGCATCTTCAATTCTTCTGTGATTTTTGCAGAAAAGGAGAGAAGATCTTGGCCTTCTGTTAAATCGCTTTCTGAATCTAATGAAGAACAGTCGGAAGCATCAGAATTAGACTGCTCTGAAGTTGAGGAAATCATTGGAGTCAGAGTTACACTTCAGCTTTTTGATACACCAAGAAATAGTGATAACTTTTCTAAAGAAAAAAATAAAGAAAAAAATTCAAATCGGATTAAAATCTTTTTTCAGTAAATTCACCATAGTGATACTGTAATCATTCTATGATCTACAAAATAAATTTTTGCAGTTTTCCAAATTATAACCACCGTTAAATAATGAAATTGAAATTAATTTCAATCTGAGATGAACATGTAACATACATATAAAAAGGTACTTTTCGATTAGTCGAGAACAAACGGAAAGTCGCCAAATAATTTAGACCTGCGCTAACTTGCGTACAAATCTGACGGGAATTCTGTCCCTTCCAGTATTCATTTAAAACAACCAACATCTATTTTTACTATTTCGCAAATCTGTTTTTTTTTTTTTTTTTTTTTTTTTTTTTTTTTTTTTTTTTTTTCAAAAAAGAGGGATATTGGCAACAAATTCAACACGTAATCAACATCATGAAATGAAAGTTTATTTTTCTGACGGAATTAGATGGAGTAGCAATGTTTCTACCTGCCGCAGCAAGAAGAGCATTCGTAAAGACACGTGGTTCGAAACGTCCAGATTAAGTTTTCGGACATCTTTAAAATTTATTTACGCTTGGAGTGAAGAAATGACATCAGTCAAATGGTGTAAAAAACAAGTGGAGATGAATCATTCGACAATTGTAAGTTGGAACAATTACTTGCGAGAAATTTATGTAGAAATATTAGTAAAACGTGAGCAATAATAATAATTTTAAAAAAATGATGGTGCTGAAATGATTGTTGAAATCAACGAAAGCTTGTTTACCAAACGAAAGAGCAATATTGGTCGAATTCTTCCGGAACAGTGGATATTTGGTGGTATTTGGCGCCAAACCGATGAATACTTCCTACTTAAGGTTCCAAAGCGTTCTCTACCGCTACTCTTAGACTCGATAAAAAACCATTACAAAGAAGGATCTATTGTTTATTCCGATTCTTGAAAAAGTTACTGCACTAAAATCGAAGAAGCGGGTCTACAGCATTTCAGAGTTTTGTGGACCCCGACACTGCTGTAAATACGAAAAAAAATCGAACGACTGGGGCAGTGCCATATGGAGAAATAAAAAACATCGGGGCACTGCCCGTCAGCCCATTGAGTCATACCTCGGCCAATTTATGTGAAGAAGGGGAGCAAAGGAGAAGTATTTGAGGAAATTCTCAAGGACATTTGCAAATTTTGGAAGAATGGAATAATTAAATAAATATAAAATTTCTTCATTGTGTATTCATGAAAATAAAAACTTTTTCTCTGTATATTGATGAATGTTTTTGGCTTTGTTTTAGGTACCGGCGATTTTTTTTTCTGGTCATTTGTGTACGTAGTCCTAAAATGCCACACACACACACACACACAAAAAAAAAAAAAAAAAAAAAAAAAAAAAAAAAAAAGTGGCGGGATTTTCTCCTGCCTAACAAAAAGATATAAAACAAATATAAACTTGGCATAGAAAGTAAGGCTAAGCAAAGGTCTACAAGTGTCTTGTTATATCAAAACTGTTAATCCTTTGCTGTTCCATGTGTCGTTCAGCTGTTGCTCTGTTTCGTCACAAGGCTGGATATGATTGTTTTGATGCCCATTTATATTGTTGCGTGCGTACGGGTTCGTTATGAAATGAATGCACAAGTCCGATGAAAAATGAACAAAAATTTATTATTATCACAACAAAAATGCTTAAATATTCTCAAATTATCATGCAGTATTACAATATCTCACAGTAGTTTCTTTTTTTAACTACTCAAATGTCCAATAGAACGTAATTCAAAACAGCTAAAGAACGCTAATCCGCGAATTCGCTACAATCAACAAGAACAGTTTTCTAAACAACAACAAACTAAGCAACTACTACGAACTGAGATGGTTTCTTCCTTTTATAAGATTTTAAAAATCACGCGCTAGAATTTTCTGGTACTTTCTCGAAATCAAAAAGACATATTTATTTATTTAATGCACGCGCTCTTGTATTTTCAATTTTCCGGCTTAGCTTTCTTTTAATATTCGTCACGCGCTGCACTGCGCGAGAAATAAAACCATTTAATTTATAATTGAACTAACATTATCTTTTTAAATACCAAATTCGTAACACTACCCCCTTCCCAAGGACTGCACGTCCCGGGCAGTACAATCCCTGGACAGGAAGCCAAACTTACAACTGTGGCGTAAATGCATTAATAAGCATTACATTACAATAATAAACAACATGAAAAATAAATGCAATAAATAAAACAAATCAAATGCTATCAAATACAAATCAAATACTAAAAAGACCATGGTCTTATACTATTTACAATTATTTACATTACGTACTATGGCCATAGTAATGAGCTAACCTGTCGTAATGAACGACTTTAGGTTTAGAGTTCGAAGACTTACGAATCCGAACCACGACGTCATTCAGCCTGTTTAGGACTGTGTACGGACCATCCGAAGGTGACTGTAATTTCGGGCAGAGTCCTTTCCGTTCGAGTCGGAATTCCACAACCACACCTTGTCTCCTTCGTGGAATTGATGTTCAGTAGCTCTTGTGTAGTATCGGGTCTTCACTTTCTCCGTCGCCAAGTTGACTCGCTTTCGTGCGGAACGGTGCATCACTTCAAAACGGGCCTTGACATCTTGGATGTGTTCCTCAGGCGATGAAGGTGCATCCGTAAGGCGATGAAGGTGCATCCGTAAGGCGATGAAACAGGCGGTCACAAGGCAGACGAAGGTCTCGACCGAAAAGCATCTGGGATGGAGAATAGCTGGTAGTCAGTCTGGTGTTTCTTTTCGACCCTAACATGATTTCGGCAGTTTCTCGAGCTGGTTCTTTCGGACAAAGCGTCGGCATTTCCAGGTGAGGATCCCTTCTTAGTATGGATAGTCATGCCATCAGATGCTGAAAGCAGTTTGTGTTTTTGAAGTCTAAGGAAAAATTGTATTTCCTTAAAAAGTCCAATCCGAGTATGCATGGATCTGTAATATCCGCCACATGTGATGGTAGGCATCACTTCCAAATGTGATTTTGCACGTTTAACTTCCCAGCTATGTCGATCTTGTCACCAGACGCAGCTGAAGGGTAACACAAGATGGTGTCCAAATAAGTTTATCTTTAAACTGTTCAGCTACATCTTTCCTAATGATGGTAACATTAGCTCCTGTGTCAATGATCATATTGCAAGGAAATCCATCGATATTTCCATAGATGGACAGTCCGTTACTTGTTGCCACTCACTATAGAAAACTTAAGCGCTTTAAAACAAGGGTTTTTCATTATCTGGCAACCTCCGTTCCTTGATATGGTCATTCATTTGTTTCCTGCGTCGTTTGCTGAGAAATTGTCTCAATTTTCGTACCCTGGGGTATTCTGCAATTCTTTCGTACGTGGCTTTCAGCTCCACAGTTCCAGCACTTTGGTTTCTTGTCAATTCTTTTCCTTCCCATGGCATTTAATTGTCTGTTTAAATCGTATGCCTTATTTCCATGGTCTGGAGTGTTCTGCAGTTCTTTCGTAGGTGGCCTTCAACACAGCAGTTCCAGCACTTTAGGGTCGGTTTCTTTTCACCACTATTCCGTCTCAAGGCATTCACTGGTCTTGTCAACTCATCCGTTGTATTATCTGTAGCCTGGGGTGTTCTGCAATGCCGTCGTAGGTGACCTTCCGAACCACATTTCCAGCACCTTAGAGCCATTACTTCTCACTCACTCCTTCTCCTGTATCAAAGCATCGACTTGTCTGGATAAATCATCTAAACGAGCCATCAATTGATCCGCTGGCTCGTGGACTCGCACAGCTCTGACTTGGTAGCGATCTCTACGAGTGGCTTGCTGGGCTGCCTCGAATTTCATGGCGTACACTAGAGCGCTTTTTAAATCTTTTACATCCGCCATTCGTAGAGCTTTCTGTATTTCAGTATCCCGGATGCCGTCGATAAAGTATTGCAAGGACAGGATTTCCCTTGTTTCTGTCGGGCATTCCGAAAAGGCGAGATGGGACAGCCTTTCAACATCCGTGGCGAGCTCCTGAAGTGTTTCGGTAGGCTTCTGTTGACGAGATTTTAATTGGAGCCTGCTGTAGTCTTTTAAACACTTCTCCCAAAGCGCAGCTCCAAGGCGCCGGACAGAGCTTCGAAATCTAACCTTTGATTTTCGGGAAGCGTCTGCAGGATATCCGCTGTGTCTGCTCTCAGAGAAGCGGCGAGATGACAGGACTTAGCTTGGGAATCCCATCCATTCGCTTCCGCAACGATAGAAAACTGGGTCTTATACACTTGCCAGGATGTCTTCCCATCATATGTGGATAGATTCAGAGATGGACGAGCAAGCATCGGTAAGAATTTAAAATCATCGCTCTTGCTCCCTGCCATCGCTACGAATTTCTTTAAAGTTCCCATTTCTTTGGCAACTGCAGAAACTCTCTCATCAATTTGTTGTTCGATTTGGTGTTGGACGGCACAAACTCTTCCTTCAATTCGTTCCTCCACAGCAGAAACTCTCCCTTCTATTTGTTCTTTGACGGAGGAGACTCTTTCTTCAATTTCTCCAACCTTTACTTTTCGAACCCGACTCTATTCTACCTTCCATAGCCTCGAATTTGTTTTCTATTACGCAGGTAATTTCTCTTTTCATTTCCTCTTGACCTGCTTTCATCTCCTCTCTAACAGATTCCATCTCGTCTTTAACGGATTTCATCTCCTCTTTGACGAATTCCCGCTTTCATTTCTTCCTGTCCCGCTTTCATTTTTTCTATCCCGCTTCAATCTTTTCCTGATTAGATTCATCGCTTATTTCATTTCTTCTTTAAATGATGCAAACGCTGATATCAACTGCCTTAATTGCTCTTCCATCGCTCTTGTTATTGGCATTCAAATCCCACTTCTGACACCAAAAATTGTTGCGTGCGTACGGGTTCGTTATGAAATGAATGCACAAGTCCGATGAAAAATGAACAAAAATTTATTATTATCACAACAAAAATGCTTAAATTTTCTCAAATTATCATGCAGTATTACAATATCTCACAGTAGTTATCTTTTAACTACTCAAATGTCCAAT